GGGGCTTTGTGGAGGAATGTTGTTGTTCATAGAATGGTCTTCTTAACCCGGAATAACCAATTAATGACTCCCTAGCTTTTGTGGTATCTGGAAACATGTGATAGTGCAATGGAGTTTCTTTCAACTCAACACTTCTGTGGAAATTGGAAATGGTATGAAAGCGAGATTTGGGTAGACCCATGGCTAGGCCAATCACCTCTAAACGATCAATATCCAACACTTTTCACTGTGGGGCAAGACTATTGTTTTGAGAAGGAACTGTGGGGCAAGACTATGAAGCCTCAGTTTCATGTTACAGATCAAAACAGGGTTGGAATATCATATTTTGACGGAATATACATGATTGGGAAATGGACAATCTATGCTCACTTCTATGCAACTTCATAACTCCCCATCCTTAATGCCAAGACCTGGTTCTCTATCCTGGAAATGGGATGCCAAAAGGAAGTTCTCTGTTAAGTCATGGTACCAGAAACTAAAACCCCTCCAACATGGACTACTGGCCTCGGAATGTATTTGGAAAAAGACTTTGAAGGTGGAATGCTTCACTGTAGGGGAAGCATATCTCGCGCACAACAACCTACAGAAAAGGGGAATTAACATTTGCAGCAGGTGCCCGCTTTGTGAAAACCATAACGAAGATGCCAGCCACCTCTTCCTCCACTGTTCGTCCACATTACAGATATGGAGCTTCATTTGTAACATTCCGGGAGTACACGGGCAATGCCAAGGACAACAATGGACATGATACAAAGCTGGCACTTCAAAGGATTTGGAAAGGCAAAACTAAAGATCTGGAAGTCTTTGCCCTCAGCAATATGGTGGACTGGTGGACTATCTGGAAGGAGAGGAATGCAAGAATCTTTTATAGCAAAAAGGAATCTGTAATTAGTATTAAGTACATATGTCAATCGTCAATTGTTTTTTGGTGCAACATGGCGATTGCAAATGATATAGATGCCATTCACTTCCTAGGCTCATTGCACAATTTGTGAGGTAGCTATCATGTATATTTTTGACAGCATCTTCTTGCTGCTAATCTTCAATAGACCACTTTTAGCAAATCAAAAAAAAAGTACTGAGTAACTCTACTTGCCAAGGCTTAGGCAGATGAGAGAATTCATTTTTGTGTTTTTGACTAAACTGAGATTTGAACCCTGGTCTCTCATGGTTTTTATCTCACTTTATTTACCGGTAGGCCATATCCTTGGGTTGCAATTGTTGTAATTAGTCTAGCGATGTTGCTTCACTTCTTTTCTTTTCTTTCTTTCTTTTTTCTTTTTTTTGGGGTTATGGTGCTTGGCTGAAGTTTATGGATAATAAGCATTAGAATGATAGTGGAGATACATCTAGAGATCCGATATCAAGCTGGAAATCATGTTAATACATCGGTCCTAATTTATATGACTTTTCGTTGTGAAGCATATGTATACTACCTGATGTGATGTTTACTATACCAAACAAACTTTTCAATAATTATTTTTATACTATTTTATAAGTAATAGCCGAGGGTCTATCAAAAATAGTCTCACAACCTTCAAGGTATGGGTAAGGTATGCGTATACACTACCCTCCTCAAACTCCACTTGTGGGACTATATTGGGTTTGTTGTTGTTTTTATAAGTAATAAGAGAACATTTTTTTTCCTCCACCACTACTCGTATAAAAATATCAAATTAATTTCTTAAACCTCCTGCCTAATTAGATGGTGTCACATAAATTGGAATAGAGAAATATTTTATTGCCTAGGTGTCACGAAACAAAGAGAACCTTTTCTTCTGTTAAAAAACTTTACAGCTTGTTTGGATTGTTGTTATATGTCGTTTCATAATGTATCGTATTGTATTGTACTGTATTGTATTGTATTGTATTGTTTGATGAATACAATGTTTGGATAGATTGTATCGTTTGCCGTCGTTTCATGATGTCACGCACTAACAATATGAAGGATAAACTTGCAACATTACTAAGAAAAAATAGGATACGGAGTAGAATTATTATATAAAAAAGTAGGATAAAGAATAAAATATGATTATTTAATACTCCCTCCGTTTCAATTTAGATGAGGTAGTTTGACTCGGCACGGAGTTCAAGAAAAAAAAAGACTTTTGAAACTTGTGGTCTTTAAAGCTTGAGGGGTAAAAGCTTTGTGGGGCCATGACATTTGTGTGGTTATAAAAGCTTCTCATTAAGGGTAAAATGGGTAAAATGAAGAGTTTAAAGTTGAATTATTTCCAAATTTAAAAATGTGTCATTTATTTTGGAACACGCTAAAAAGGAAAGTACCTCATCTAATTTGAAACGGAGGGAGTAATAAAGAAGGGCAAGATGAATGAAAAAAAGCAAAGAAACAACGCCACCACACCAAATCCGTCGTTTCATAAAGTGGCAATTTTCGTCGTTACATAACGATTAGGGGTGGCAAATGGGCTATTTGGGCTGAGTTTGGGCTGGTTAAGATGGGATGAACTAATAAATGGATCAATGCCCAACCCAGCCCAAAGTTCACTTGGGTCAAGATGAGTTGGGTTAAGATGGGCTAAATAATGGGTCATAGCCCAACCCACTCAACTTGACGCTACTTTTTTTCTTTCCTTTTGAAGAAATCAATAAACATTCTCAACCAAATATCTATAAACAAGTCTTCATAAATATTAGTACATATAACAAAAAGTTGTAAGTTTATTACAGTAACAAATTTTTGAAATACTAATTTTTAGCAAATTAAATATAATATCTATCTTTGCATATTACTGATTCATGTCATTATTTCATCACAAACTTTTTCTATTGCCACAATTCTTGAATCCATGCCAATCACGAAAATGATTAACAAAAATCTAGTTACAAACACTAAAGAAGAATTAAAATATTACTGAAAAATGTGAAAATTATGAATTTTGTAACTGCTATAATATTTTAAGATATAGTTTTCGATGGTACAACTTTTCTAATGATTGATTCTTATTGAATCATTTGTTGTCTATAATACATTTAAAACTTTTTTTTGTCTTAATTGGTTCAAGTTTCAACCACCGAAAGAAATGACTAATTTAAGAAAATTCCAAGTTACATGAGGTATTAGAAATATTGTTGATTGGCCAAAAAGTTACCTTGTAACAGAAACACTAATCCCATTAAAATCTTCATTTCGTATTCAAATTATTGTCCCTGCGTGTTTGGGCAGTGGCGGGTTAACTTTGGGCTTCTTCATGGGTTGAGTTTGGGCTAGCTTTTTTCATGGGTCTAGATGGGTTATGCCCAAACCAGCCCATCAGAAAAAATGTTTCATGCCCAACCCATTAAATGTTGGGCGGGTTGGGCGGGTTACATGGGCTTGGGCTACTTTTGCCACTCCTAATAACGATAGATTTAACGATACGATACAATAAAATTAAAGTAACAATCAAAACAAACATTGTATTTAAAGTAACAATACGATACAATACAATAGGTAACAACCAGAGGCGGAGCGAGGATTTCAAGCTTATGGGTTCAAGATTTTAATTGTTTTAAGTTACTGGGTTCTAAATAATAATTTATACATATTCAATNTGACAAGTTGAACCCCACGGGTGGAAGGAGACTTATCCGACTTTCTTTTTAGCATTTTGTACACCAATTCTTTTGTCTTCTTTGTAAGTTTTCTTTTCGTCAACAGATTTCTTTTATTTGAATATGTTTAGTAGCATTCAATGATGTTCAATCGAATTTTATTCTATTAATTTCATCCATAATAAAATCTCAAAAGTATGTTTTAGGGCTTTAGGTGATGTTTTCTAAAAATCAAACCCAGAAAATCTAAAACAATTCCAAAACCTCTTTCACAAAAGTCAGTCCAAACACTCAATTGTTTTCAGATAAACAGAAACAGAATCAATTCTCCTGGAGAAAAAAAAACAGAGTATTTTCTAATTGAAATGCCATCTATGTTTTGTATAATGGGTATTCCTCATAAGAGGTTATCCTTGGTAAACCAGATGCTACTATATTAATGATGGGACATACACTCAGTAGTCCAGTCTTACCAAACACAGATGCATCATTATCCAACTGAATTTGCTAGCGAACACACCCTTCTTTTTTACTTCAAAGTTTATTTGGCTTATCTTAATCTTCCAGATTTGATGAATTAGTTAATAGGTAAACATTGGCAAGAATATTTAAATAGACATTTGAACTTTTCTCTTTTGCATCATTTTTTCTCTTTCAACCTCTTTCTTCCTCATAGCGCAAACCAGATGCCTGATTTGCTTGAGCACACCCTGCAAATTATTTTTTTGTTATTACCTTTTTCCCCATTTTTGCAGAGTACTTGATCACATCCAGAGCCTAAAATGCAATGTGTTCGTCGTCTCAACCAAGCGACCCAAGGAAAACTAAACATATTCTGGGAAACTTTGTGCAAATTTTTTTCATTTCTTACACCTACAGATGTTTCACTTCTCTTTAAAAGAGGGCTTCCTGGTTCACTGGTCAAGCATGTCCATCATTGAGGTTGGGGGTCGAACCTCAACCTGGATATTTAGTTTCCTTATCAAAACCAAAAAAAAAAAGGATGTTTCAACCTTCACTTGTCTTTACTCCGTTACTCTTTTTTTTTGGGGGGGGGGGATTAGGTACTTCTTGACTCATCTTGTTTAATGCGACGTAGATCTACATGAATATATAACATTAAATATTTCAGACAGAAACAGATACTTATTCTTTTTATTGTATAATATGGTAAAATTTGGTGCTTCTTATAGAATTTTGAAGAAACACAAAGTTAACATGCCGTCAGCCTTGCAACCACTTGTCACTGCCTTAAACCTCCAAAACTAAAATTTGCAAAGCCTTCATTCCAAAAAAATGAAAGTGTAAAACTACCATTTCAGAACCTTCTTTTGTTTAATATTTCAAAAAAGGAGTGAAATTATCTTTAGATGATTTTAGTAGAGTTATGGAACTCCACGCATCAAACCTGGAATCATCTTTTGAGAAAAAAGACTATGACTTACCAGGCCATGCAGATATTCCCATATGTTTCAAAACTGGTTGTGTGGGTACCGTACCATCTACCTCTAGAATTATCTCTTCCTCTGCAAGAGAAAGGTTGGACATCATTTGAGGTCCACTGAGATTCTGAACTGCCTTTATCACCCTGCAGTAGGAAATGAGGAAACAACTGATAAGTAATCATTCATCTAAGCGCCATATCTTATTCTGGATATACCAAGACTTCATATCAAAGCAAGTCTACAAGTGCATCCAATTCGTAAAGTTCCTAAAACAAAATATTACCATGACGGTTCTGCTAAAATATGTCAAAGCCTGAGTCATCAACACAGGGGAGAGACAGAGAGAGAGAGAGAGAGAGAGAGAGAGAGAGAGAGACTCAACTAGAGACAGATCTATGATGTTTTCCTGCTGATGGAAAACTTAAATCATATATTACAACAACAACAACAACAAACCCAGTGTAATCCCACAAGTGGGGTCCAGGGAGGGTAGTGTGTATGTAGACGTTACCCCTACCTTGTGAAGGTAGAGAGGTTGTTTCCGATAGACCCTCGGCTAAAGAAACACTAAACAAGAAGCGACCAACAGTAACAACACAAGAAAAAAAACAAAGACACTATGTGTACCAAAGATCTAAAAATAAGAAATACAAGAATACTACTAACAATACTGGTACGAATGACACAATATGGAATAACAAAGGTCAAGGAACACAAAAATGTAAGAATAATACTAATACTATTGGTACGAGTATGAGAAACTCTCAACTACCTATCAACCTACAATCCTAATTTTCGACCTCCACACCTTCCTATCGAGGGTCATGTCCTCGGTAAGATGAAGCAATGACATGTCCTGCCTAATCACCTCTCCCCAATACTTCTTTGGCCTACTTCTACCCTTCCTCAGACCCGCCATGGTCAACCTCTCACACCTCTTAACTGGGGCACCGATGTCTCTCCTCATTACGTGTCCGAACCATCTCAGCCCGCAATTTGTCTTCCACAGGGGCCACTCCCACCTTATCCCTAATAACTTCATTCCTAATCTTATCTTTCCTGATATGCCCACACATCCACCTCAACATCCTCATTTCGGCTACTCTCATCTTCTGGACATGGGATTTCTTGACTGGCCAACACTCGGCACCATACAACATAGTCGGTCTAACTACCGCTCTGTAGAACTTGCCCTTAAGTCTTGGTGGCACATTCTTATCACACAAAATACCAAATGCGAGCCTCCATTTCATCCACCCCGCTCCAATACGATGTGTAACATCCTCGTCAATCTCCTTGTTACCTTGGATAACAGACCCAAGGTACTTAAAACTCTCTCTCTTGGGAATGACTTGTGTATCAAGCTTCACGTCCACTTCTGCCTCATGCGTCCCCTCACTGAACATAAATTAGAACTGTTGTGAGATTATCTATTTCTTGGTATACTCCTTGTACATCAAAACGGGTATGTTTTTTGCCCCTTTTTAAATGAAATTTATTACTTTTATCCACAAAAAAAACATAAATTAGAAGGCCAAAATCAGAAAAATTCACATCTGATGCTTTTGTTAACATATTTATAAGCTATCAGATAACTAAACAAAGGGAGTAATAATTCCCTCTCTATTGTATTCTACCTTAAAGAATACAATTATAAAATTTGGACCAAATTCAGAATAGAAAATTCAACAATACTTTGCTAGAGTGAGAAACTCCCCCTTCTCCCCAATTGTTGTTGCTGGAAACAAGACATCTGAGATCACAGAATGCAAAATTTGAGACAGATTGCTGGTACAAGTGGGTCAAAAGAAAGATCAACTTTGTCAGTCGAATTCTAATAAACTCCCCACTGCTTAACCATGTTTGTCTAGTCCTACAGCAAACATCAAAATGAACAGGCAAACTTTGCAGGAGATGGAGAAGTGGGAGCAAGTGCATGAATATGTCTTCCAAAACACCAACGACTTAGGGAGATATGTGCAAATAGTTTCAATAAATGAAGCTAGGAGAAGCATGATAATAGTCCCCGAGCAGATTGAACAACAAAATTTTTAAGAAATTCGAAATGACATACCCGAGATTTCTAGCTCATCTTTATGCAGTATCACTGCGTATGAATTATTTTCATATTTAACAATATCTTTAAGCGGCTTTCCAAGTTATATCTAAATAATGCTTTACCATCCTTCGAGCATCAGGTAAACTCCATCTTGTAATGAAAGTTCTAAGTCTTCAGTGAAAATTGTCCTTAGTTGAGGACTTGAAACCAACTAATCTCAAAAGATATGTGACCAGCTTGATTTCAATTTTTGTGAGAAAGTAAAGTACCCGAAGAACAAAAAGGTAAAGTGGGGTCCAACAGCTAATGCTCAGTAATGGAGCATACTTTTCAAGACTCCGAAGGTACTTGTCGTATATAAGGAAATGAAGCCGATGACCTGAAGAACTTGCTAGGACATCGAAAAGATTGTGAACTGTTATAATGTCTGCAACAATAGCACAAGCAGGAGCTATTCGTGAAAATGACTCTGCACCAACCGTCTTTTTATCATCAACCTGGCAAGAGACGAGAAATAAAATGGATAAACAAATGGCAGCAGAAACTTCAAGAAAAAACATGATGCCATTCTGAGAAAATTATTTGCAGTTAATGCAACCCCAAGAAAGAACATACTTTTCTTTCTTTAGATATAAACGAATTTTTATTTCTAATGCCTTCAAACAGTATAGAACCTTCTATAGTGGAGGTATACAATTTTCTGTCACAGATAAAAGTAGTAACCTACAAATTTCCACTCCAAAAATAGATACTAAATGAAGGAAAATGTTAAGTCAATTACAACCTGAACAGCCATATTTGTGGAATCCGAATAAAACAATGACCAGCTATCTTCATCCTCCACCTCCCTGTCATCAGAAGCAGCAGTTTCCTGTGAAGACAAACCCATGACAGTATCGTCAGACAATTAGACTTACAAATGGACAGCCAAACCTATAGCATAGCAACTGGAATTTAAAAATTAAGAAAAGAAAGAAATCTTGAAAAAGAGCTACTAAATGATATCTCATGTAGTTTAGTACTTGATTTCCAACACCAGGAGCCTCCCATGCTAGCATCATGTCGAACATCAAGCGACGGAAGTCCTTATCGCTCAGATAATTAGGCTGGGTGGTTGCCACTTGAAGAGCTTGGAAGGAGCAAAATTCCAGAAAGTTCCTTGCATATATCACTAAGGGTTGTTTAACATCATCAGGAAGATCTGAATCAAACTGATGTTGCAACTCTTCAATATGTAACTGCAAAATCCTGCAGTTGAGGCAGAATAGACAATAAGTTAAGACATCTCATAAGCAAATATCTTAGCTTACAGGAAAGTTTAAAACTCTAGTGGCACTGAGGCAAGATTTTCACCAAGTCACCTTCTTGTTCGATTTCTACAGAAAAAAGTGAAAAGGGAAAAAATTCTATCACAGATTTCTTTCTCGGAAAGGCTTTAAGGATGCGTTTAGAATGTGGTCTAGTATGTCTGTGGATTATGAACAGAATAAAAGAACGTGCAGTAACCAGAAATAATAATTGTCAGGAAAATTCTGAAGGATACTTTTTATTGGGAAATTGATAGAGTTAATCTATTGTCTGAGAAGCTGGGGATCGTGGTATCCAAGATGACAGGACCGATATTTTGCTATGGACAGCCAAGACAGATGGGAGGTTCCCTGTAAAATCTTGTCACAAGTTGCTGACAAATCTGAATTCTATGAAAGATGCCTAACGGCCTTGGAAAATGCTACAGAAAACAAGAACCCCACCAAAAGCGGCATTCTTTGGATGGGCAGCATTATAGAATCCGTGCCTACGCAAGGTAATTTACAAAGAAGAGGTTCAGTTTATATAATAGGTGCACTTACATAGAATATGTGGACCATCTTTTTCTACATTGCTATCTGACCTGGCATAATAAGAGTATGTTTCTGAACTTGTTTGGCCGTGCAGTGTATTATGGTAGGAAGCTCAAGAGAAGCATTATGCAGCAGGGTCAGAGGATAACGAAGATACAGAGACCAGTTTGAAGAAAAATTTCCTTTTGCATTTTCTTTTTTTCTTTTTATGAAATTTCCCTTTGCATTTAGTGGACAGTGTAAATAGATAGGAACAGTAGAGGTTTTGATGGAATAGAGGATCATATATCTTGTATAGAAATGTCTTCAAAATCTCTATTTGGTGCTAGTTGAATCCTGTTAACATGTTAGATGATATATTGAACATGATTGACTTATCTTGCAATTGTATAAGGTTTCAGTCTAGACTCTGGTGCAATTATGCAAGCCTTAGCTTAGTGCTGGTATAGTAATAAAACTATTTATCAATATAATAATTATCAGAACAAAATCAAGAAGAATAGACACACATCTTGATTGAATTATGACGTCGCTCTGTACCAAATGATTTATCAGATAAAATCTTGTGACACCAATGGTTTAGTAGAAAATTTATTCTCCTAACTGATTAAAAAGAAAAAAAATCCTAGACATCTCTGCCTTTATTAAAACTTAAAGTGACAGCCACAGATATAAGAAGAGTGCCACAGAAAACATGCACTAAGCATGCTTTCTCCCAAAAAAAGTGAAAAACAAAAGAGGAGCTAGAGCTTTTACGTTAGATGGACCAGCTTTACCTTCATCATGATTGAACAATTCCGTTGAAATTAGTTAACATGAATTCTATATCTTTTAACCAAAACCCTTTTAAGAAAAGGAGGCAATGCTACAGCTTAAATTCTCTATTCTTTGTGTGCTTGACTCTTTTATATTAAAACCTAAGCTCCAAGAAAAGGAAAAAGACGGACTTTGTTTTGCTTTTAATGAAGTAAGATTCCTATTTCCTAGCGGAATCTCTCTCCCACCGCTTGGCTGTTCGAAAAAAATTTCATTCCAGTTTAGAGTTGAGTGTTGATGTTAAAGATCTACTGTCACCCAACTTCTTGGCAGAAATAATATGTAAATTCACAATAAGATAAATGACATTTGTATATTCACGAAAGGATAAAATGGTAAATGTCTAAAACAATACTAATTTAAATTGTAAGATTTATCAAAAGAACTTCCTACTACTAAAGAAGAAAGTATATTACCACATCAATTCTCGAGATAAAGAAATAGATAAAAGTATTGATGCATAACATTTAACTCGGCTCTCCAGTAGAGTTGATACTATTCAAGGACATCAGGACCCTAGAAAGTTACATAGAGGACATGAAACCAAGAACAATCACTAAACTCTAACCAATCAAGAGAGAAATGCAAGAGCCCCATTGTTCTTTAGCATCATATAGACTAAGGATGATTTCAAATTTAAATAACAATGAAATCTTGTTACAAACAAACATCATTAGTGATCGATGTCCTTGTAATATGGTTGATCATTTCAACCAAAAAGCACAACTAGCTCAATCAAGAAGCAGAGAATTTGTGTACATCATTTAGATGTTAGAAATGGGGAAAAAAGACTACACCTCAATTCAAGCTACTTGGTTTTGGGGACAGCTTATGAATTCTCACAATCCATTTTCCTATTGGATCCATTTCATATATTTACTCAGTAATTTTGTGATCTCTAACACGAGAGGTTCTCCATAAGTGTGCATGCATCTCAAGAGATTTTAGGTCCTTCAAGATAACTTCCTTTCGTGTGATTTTATGTCTACCTTACCAGTCAAAAAAAAAACAGATCTAGCTCGTCTCATTTAACATCTTCAACAAACGTAAGACATGATGAAACTATCTCAAGTATCTTCTTTCATTTTGTCCTCAATGTGTGCTACTCGCACCTTCTGTAAAATTTGATCAGTTCTAATGTTATCTAACCTCGTATAACCACAGGTCAATCATCCATCATAATATTTGTATTTCTATGGAACTAATCTTGTCGATATGTTGGGCCTTAGAAGCTCAACAAACACTCCCGTATAATATGGTTAGTCGGATAATTATTCTATACAACTTGCCTTTCACTTTGGTGGCTATCATGGTATCATAAAATACTCTCATAGCACTCGTCTAGTTCAATCATCATATTTTGATTCTATATGTTACATCATCTATCATTCGTTTTCCTAAAATATTGAGTTTAGCTATCCCAATTGTTTGCACTTAAGCACTGCAATCCTGTGTCAGCTCACCTCAAATAAATTGGAAATAACATGTATTCAAGTGTCGTTGAAACGAACCCAAAATAAAGGTTGATATTGAATGTGATTTGAGTTTGCATGACTAATCCAAAGCACGTTGAATCCTAACTCTCTTTGGTATATCCAACTAGGTGCAAATGATTAGGGTCAAATCCCTCCATACAGACTCCAAACAGTCTTTAAACGTAAACAGAAGACAAAATGCAAAGAGACATTTCTGGCATGTATGCTTTCTTTCATCAACAACAATTTCTACCAATACATGGTGGCTGTAGAAAGACTAAGGTATAACAGGAACACTTGCCTAATGCCTGTACAACAAGCAGATGCAAATTTCATGCTTTCTCACTGTGTTCATTGATGCACAAGGTAGTACCCAAAATACTAACGCAACTTCTTATGACATTTTGGAGGAGCCAAAATGTTTCCTCCCTCCCTCATCTCTCTCTCACAGTGTTGTCAAAGACAAAAAGCTCTAAAAAGCGCTCTAGGTCTATTTGGGCTTTTAGCGCAAAGCGCATTTAAAGTGTGGGTTTTAGTTAAAAAAGGCGCAAGGAAAAAATTAAAAATTTATATGTAATTCAAGAACAAAGTAACAAACTCATTCAAAATGTTTCCCTTAGAAGCTCATATACTTATTTCCGATTATATTTGTTGTTTAGTGCCGCTTGATTCAAGAGAGAACTCATGGTCAATGAGGCACAAGCCTTAGTGCCTTGTCTTACACTGAAGCGCAACTTAAGCGACGTGAAGCGCCCTCCTTGAGCTTTTCTAAGCTTCAGGGCTTTAGCGGCCTTAAATGAGCCTTTGACTACACTGCTCTCTCTCTCTCTCATGCGATACCTGCTAATGCCCATGATACAGATGTAAAATGAGCAGGGGCGGATCTATGGAGAGGATGGGGGTGGTATGCCATCCGGTCGATTGGGTAGACTTTGATGTATGCACTAGAATTTCACGCCAAGAGATCGTCTATATTTGAAGAGTGGCAACCGAAGTCACAAAGTGACCCAAGGTCCCTTGGTCAAGGTACCACTTTTCCAAGTGCAATGCCCAAGATAGATACTTGCTTTACTCATTAGCAAGCTAATGTTACTTTTACTCTTGGCCTTGCTTATTCCTTTCTCCATTTTCTTTTCTTCTTTCTCTTTGTACAATGCCATTTTTATTATTTATTTAAATTATAAAATCATATTTCCTTCTGTATTCTTTTTCTAGATCTCGAATTTTTGTTTGAATTTGATTTAACTCATTTTTTTCTTTTATCTATTTAATGTCAACTTTTCCTTGATGTCGAATAAAGGATCCAACATTTTCAGTTTACTTATCACGTAATTATTTATGCACCAAATATCTTGTAAAGTGACCGAATTAATTCAAAATGGATCGAACCGAATGGAATTAATTCTAGACGAAGAAAACCAACCAAATTTACCCCCTAACTCAATCTCCTTGACTAGTGGTAAGTTTAGTGTCAATCCGCCTCTGAAAATGAGCTGATTCTCATTGTAATAGCATGCTAACATAAATATTAAGTAGATTATTGAAACCGTCTACCCCAACAGGCATTATTTAAACTTCAGCATGGGCACACTGGTAGTAGCAGCCTCGTGCCTTATGTTCAATCGCATTTCAGCGACAATAAGCTACTAATACATTTGTATGTTTCGACATGGAAAGAAAAGGAGTTTACTTGCAACAACGAGAGACAACAGAGTTTGCGAGTGGAGAGAGAAAAGGTAAAGGCTGATAAGGCGGAGTGGTGGCTACATCATCAACACCTTCAGTGTCACCGTTACGCATTTTTCCGCTGAAAAAGAATATGGATTTCAACGCTAACATACTCTTAATCTCGTTTCCATTGCTCTTCTGCTTTTTACTTTTCCCCAATCCCAGTGCATTCTCATTCTCCATCTTCCTGTTTGGCCTTCACTTCTCTCCTTTTTCCTAATTCAGACTTCAGATCGATCGCCGGGCGGTTGCCGCCGGCCTAATTGGTTGGTAATGGATTTTATTATAAGGATTAAGGAATAGGAAAGGCAAGGACGCGCCAATCGCGAAATCAGTATTTGTCCTGTGACGAGCTTTTTGTTTAGCTTAGTTAGAAAATTGGTTGGCCTAGCTATTGTTTTGGGTCGACTATTAGGTCAAGGACCAAAAATACCCCTAAGTATTGAAAATAATTTAATTTTACCCTCTTTTTATTTATTGGACCATAAATGCCCTTATCGTGAGATTTGGGCTCAAACCTACCCTTATATCTAACAGAAGAGCCAACAATACCCCTAACGTATTGAAAATGGCTCAGAAATACCCTTTGTTAACCTTTTGGTCCGCAAATGCTCCTAACGTTTGTTTTGGGCTTAAACTTACCCCTATATATAACAGAACTAACTTGGTCAATTTTTTACTTTAATTTCGTCATGTGACATTTTCTTAATCCGCCACGTGTATTATTTGTATTAAATAAACTCACATGTATCTTTTAAAATATCCAACGACCTAGGCTCGCTACTATATATTTGGACGGTCAGCTAAAAATAATTACATTCGCTAGTTAAATATATATAAAAAAAAATATACATTGATTATATATAAAAATATGTATATTATACATTAATATTTTAATATATATTTTACATGATATTATTTTTAGGAAAAATTATACAGTAACTAGCGAATGTAATTATTTTTATATATTTAACTAGCGAATGTAATTATTTTTAGCCGTCCGTCCAAATAATACACGTGGCGAATTAAAAAAATGTCACATGGTGAAGTTAAAGTCAAAAAATTGATCAGGTTAGTTCTGTTATATATAGGGGTAAGTTTGAGCCCAAAAATAAATGTTAGGGGCATTTGCGGACCAAAAGGTTAACGGATGGTATTTCTGAGCCATTTTCAATACGTTAGGGATATTGTTGGCCCTTCTGTTAGATATAGGGGTAAGGTTGAGCCCAAAAACTAACGTTAAGGGCATTTATGACCCAATAGGTGGAAGGAGGGCAAAATTGAACCATTTTCAATACCTTAGGGGCATTTTTGGCCCTTTTCCATTAATTATATTAGTGAAGTAGCTACTAGTGCGTTTAAATGAGTAATTTGATGTTTTTTGCCTGTTAAAATGGCATGGCGTAGCCATTTTTACGGTTGGCTATCCAAAAATAGCCACCATCGCTAATATAATCGATTTCTAGCCATTTTAACTTAAAATATATTAGTAAATGACATAATTGCCCTTGAACTTTTTAACATCCTATTTAGTTATTTTTTATTTTTTATCGCTCTTCTCTTTCTTTTTATAGCAGTGTACGGATTTCGCTTTCGTGATAGCACTTTCTTCGAATTTAGTCTGGGTTAGGTCCAATTTTCTTCAAAATTGTCTGGGTGAGTGTTGTTTTACAATAATGTGTTTGAATTTTCGTTGTTATTGTTGTTTCGTTAGTTTTAAGTTTGATTTACGTACTGTTAGCGTTTAAATATTTGTGATATTTTAACATTTACGATTTTTTCTCTGTTCAGTAGTTCGTCTTATTTCTAATAATTTTGTCACTCTGTTATTAGTTTTATGTTGTAATGCTGTAATCGTTGCGTAATTTATTTTGATAAGTTGTTCAAATATTTTTCTAGTCTCTGTATATTAGGGTTAATTTTCAAGTATTTTTTTTGCTTCAATTGCATTATAGATTTCTCGAGTTCTTGTTAAAACTTGAAATCCAGAACAATGTGCTAGACTTCATATTTAAAATTTTGAGTTTTTTGTAATAAATTTAGTTCCAGTATATTGTGTTTTTTAAATTCTAGACCAGTATTTATTTATGGAGTTTTATTTTTGTAATAAATTTAGTTCCAGTATATTGTGTTTTTTAAATTCTAGACCAGTATTTATTTATGGAGTTTTATTTTTGTAATAAATTTGGTGTAGTATATTATACGGAAAATTTGTCTTCTGAAGGCTTGTTGCCCAGTATTTTATACTAGATGGTTTTTTATTATGTTTTTTGTTTATGAAGTTTTGTAATAAATTTTGTCCAGTATATTATACAGGAAGTCTGTCATCTGAATATTTGTCCTCCAGTATGTTATACTGGATGATTATTATAATATACTTAAGTTTTGTTTGATTCCAGTATATTTTACGGTAAGTCTGTCGTCTGTAAGCTTATTGTCCAGTATGTTATACTGGATGAGTTCTGTTTAGACTAGAGTTTTATTTTATTTGTGATTACTTTTTCTGAATGATTATTTTTCTTTTTCTTTTTTATTATGTTCTTTAATTATGTTTCTTCTTTATAGCCCAGTATTTGTTTCTGGAGTTTCATTGCTTCTAATTACTTTGACCTAGTATATTATACTGGAAGACTGCCATATGTAGGCTTTGTTGTCCAGTACTTTATACTGGATGAGTGTAACGACCCGGCCAGTCGTTTCGAGAGTTATAGCCCCGTTTTCCCTATTTCTGCTTCTTTTTGTGTTCTTCAGCTATATTGTGATATACAGGGTTAGTTAGTTCGGGTCCGGAGTAGTTTCGGAGTGAATTGAAACACTTAGTCTATTTATTAGAAGCTTAAGTTGGAAAAGTCAACCGGATGTTGACTTATGTGTAAACGATCTCGGATTTGAATTTTAATGGTTCTGTTAGCTCCGTTAGGTAGTTGTGGACTTAGGAGCATGTTCGGAATGTGAATTGGAGGTCCGTGGTAAAATTAAGCTTGAATTGGCAAAAATTAAAATTTTGGCGATTTTGGCCGTCAGTGAAAATTTTGATATCGGGGTCGGATAGAATTTCTGGAAGTTGGAGTAGGTTCGTGGTATCATTTCTAACTTGTGTGCAAATTTTGAGGTCATCCGGACATGGTTTGGTAGGTTTCGGCATCGTTTGTGAAATTCGAAAGTTTAGAAGTTCTTAAGCTTGAATTTGGGGGTAATTTGGTGTTTCGATGTTGATTTGAGTGATCCGAAGGTTCGACTAAGTTTGTATGAGGTTATGGGATATGTTGGTATGTTTGGTTGTGGTCCCGAGAGCCTCGGGGTGATTCCGGGTGGTTAACGGAAGGTTTGGAGTTCGAGAAGTGCAGTTGAAGCTGCTGCTACTGGTGCTTTCCGCACCTGCGGAGTGGGAACCGCAGGTGCGAGGCCGCAGGAGCGAAGGAAGAGCCACATGTGCGGCTAAGGGAGACCTGGGCTCAGACCGCAGGTGCGATGAAAATCCCGCATCGGCGGTGGTCGCAGAAGCGGTTTGGGAAGCGCAGATGCGCAAATGGATCGCAGGTACGGCTTGGGTCCCGCATCTGCGATGACCGCAGATGCGGTCAAGTGATCGCAGGAGCGGAGTCAGGCTTTTAATAAATTTCTACAGAAGCGGAGCCCGGTTCGCAAATGCGGTTCCGCAGGTGCGGAACTAGGACCGCAGGTGCAGTTTTCACTGGGTAGAAAACCCCAGCTCGAGGCTTTGTTTTCCATTTTCAATTTTGGACTTGGGGAGCTCGGGAGAGAGGCAATTTTTTCGAAGGTTTTCAAGGAGGACGTTGGGGTAAGTGATTCTAACCCGTATTGGTCAAATTTCCTTGAATCTATGACCTTGTTCATTATTTAATTAGGGATTGGAATTGAAAATTTGGGGATTTAGGGCTTGGTAATTGGAGAGTGAACTTTGGGGTTTTGGAGGGGAAATTGAGGTCGAATTTTGGTAAATTTGGTATGACTAGACTCGTGAGTGAATGGGCTTTCGGGTTTTATAATTTTTGTTGGATTCCGAGACGTGGGCCCGGGGGCCGGGTTTGAGTTGATTTCGGATTTTGGCTATAATTTGGTATTTTTCTTGTGGAATTGATTCCTTTAGCCTATATTGATCGTATTGTATTACTTGTGGCTAGATTCAGGATGTTCGGAGGCCGAATTGAGAGGCAAAGGCATTCCGGAGTAGGACTTTGCTTGGTTTGAGGTAAGTAACATTTTCAAACTTGGTTCTGAGGGTTCGAGACCCCAAATTATATGTTATGTGATTGATATTGAGGTGACGCACATGCCAAGTGACGGGTGTGCACCGTGAGAATTGTGACCTGGGTGATTCCATGGCACCGTTTAGTGACTCTATCCTGTTGATATCCATGTTTTCATCAGGTGATAAAGTAGTTGAGTTGTAGATCGTGCTAGATATCATGTGTTTGGCTTTGTGCCGGTATTGGTTGGACCCTTAGCGGTCGTTTCTTGCTGTCATCTCACTAGTTTCATTTACTATTACATACTCAGTCATGATCATGCATTTTTATTTCATATCTCGGTCTCAATTATTTATTGATTCATCATATCATTGTTCCGGGTTGTTTTTATGATATTGTGAGCCCTTGGTGAGACTGGAGAGGTTGATGACTGGGTGAGGCCGAGTGTCTGGTTATGAGTGACAGTTATGGGATCGGGCTGTACGCCGCAGTGGTTATATTGATGATTATGATAGTGTTTGTGTTGTAGGAGCCCCTCCGGAGTCTGTAACACACCCCCAGTGAGCGCGGATGATATTATTGAGGGATGGATTTCCCTGGACATGGATTTGTCCGAAGTACTTTATACATGGAGATGGATTTCTCCACAGGGTTGGATTGCCCTTTTTCCTCGGTACTGGTGACTTATAGTCAGTGTTGTATATGTTCTGGGATGGATTTTCCTAGGCCGGATGGCCATATACAATACCGAGTGGTTGAATACTTGAGAGTTGAGCAAATGGTGCATTTCATACAGTCTGTGCATTGGCATGTAGAGATAGCTGAGTTGTATACCTTACACTGTTCAGATCTGTATTTCCTTTACCGTTTGAGCTGTATATTTGACTTGAAAGCATGCCTACGTTTTTGCACATTTATTTCTGTTATACCTGTTGAGGTTGAATTCATCACTACCTTTCAGTCCAAAGTTTGGACTTGTTACTTATTGGGTTGGTGTACTCACGTTACTCCCTGCACCTTGTGTGCAGATCCAGGCGATACCGGTCGTAGCGGCGGTTGCTGATTGAGGATCCTAGAGTTTTGGNCTGTGGTAGGGGCAGAGGTACCGCCCGCACAGCAGCTGGGGCAGTACCTGCAGATCCACCAGTTGCCCCAGATC